AGGATTTTAAACAAAAACACAAACTAGATCTAGACTAGATCTAGATTCTAGATCTAGATCTAGATCTAAATGCTTTTGGTGACATTTTATATTATACACATATCAGGAGGAAGTTAACAAAGACTTACGAAGAAAAATGCTTTCCGTTGCTATGGTACACTCCGTCAAACGGACGGCAAAATCATTAAAAATGTTAGGAAAACTCGTCAAAGCTCGTTTCTCTATACCTTATGGGTTACCCTACTACTACTACCTGTAGGTCTGTCATCATTAGCACTGTTTGAACTTGCATGGATCAACCTAGATCTAGGCTAGACCAATAGACAAGGCTGAAATGAAGTTGATACCGTCGCCTTGTCAGCTGCACCAAAAAACGCTCCTCAAGTTCAAATTTGGGCGCCAGGAAGTTCGGGAGTATTCAAATAAAAGATCTGACTGACTCCCTATAGATCTAGATCTATAGCCTTGACGTCTAGCCTAGCACTAGCCTAGGCTATGTATAAGCAAACAAGTCCAAGGAAAATCTAGATCTAACAACTTAAACGAAGTTGTAGAATGAACTGATGAACTGGTTCAAAGAAAAAAGAAAAAGGGTGAAGAAATTGAAAGAAAAGATGCGGGGTTTTTTCTCATGATTTGGCACGCTCTTTGTGTAAAACGACTCGATAGGTGCGAGCCAGAGAGTAAAAATAATTAATGTGCTAGATCTAGTTAATCTAGATCTAGATTCTAGATTTCAAAGTTAAATGACGCGCTGCTATTTAATTTAAAAATCTGTGTTGACAATTCGCTATCAGCTGAGTCTGGGTCATAATTCCCCGGCTATGACACTGAAAAACCTAGATAGATCTAGATCTAAAACCAGGAGATTGTCTACTACTACTAGCGAAGGATCCGATCTGGAATCTGTGTTTGATTTCACAAATATTTAGGTTTGAGGAATGGAAGAAATGTCAAACATCATTAGATCTAGATCTAGATATATTAGATCTAGATAGATATCTAGATTAGCCTAGTAGACCTCGCCTAGATCTAGATCTAGATATCTAAATTTAGATCTAGATCTAGGTATCTAGATCTATTCTAGACCTAGAATCTAGATTTAAGGTACATCGCATAAGAAGCTCCGTTCAATGCCGGCGAACTAGATTCTAAATTCTAGATTCTAGATCTAGATCTAGATCTATAGGCCTATATATAATAATAATATGCCGGTGTAACACGCTCAGAACACTACCGTGCAATAAAGACTACCGTAGTGGTTTTGGTGTAAGCTTTCATGCCATAACCACTACCATAGTGATTTTTGCACATTTATGCTGTAAACACTACCCTAGTGATTTTGGCGTACGCTAAAAACTAGTAAAAACGCTAGGCCTATCTCTTAAGCTAAAAACACTACCGCTTACACGCCAGATTGACTACCCACGCCAAAAACACTAGCCTATCATCATTCTTCGCCAATAAACACTACTGCGGTTGTTTTCGTGGTTTAAACATGATGCTCAAAACACTATCCCAGTATTTTTAAGACCAGTAGATCAACTTTGGGCTATTATAACTAAAAGATGGCACCTGAAATGAGGGTTTAGCTTCAAATTTGTGTTTTATCCTTTAGTTTAGCCATTATTGTCTCATTTTCCCAAGGATTATGCCTCAAATAGAATATTATTATATTTCTTCTAAAATGCTTTTAAAAGGTAGTGATGTACTACTTCTGAGAACAAATTTTGAATCAAAATTGCATTTTCCTCGAAATCATATCATTCTGTACATTTTTTGCTAAAGTTAGAAGTTTAAGAATGGATTTAAATTTAAATGAAACTTGGCAGAGATGTGGTCCAAATAAAGCTTAGCAAGATATCACATGCTTTTTTAATATCTTATTTCTACCTAAAGTTATTGATGTTTGTAAGTTTAAAAAATACATCTAGATCTAGATCTAATAAGGCTTTTAAAAAAAATTTTCAATGACTAATTTTTTAAAGATATTTTTTTTCTCCAAAAATATAAATCTATAAGATACATATGTAACTGAAAAAGCTTGTGATGTCTTGACTTTTTTAGATTTAAAAAACATGCCAAAAATGGTTCATTTTCCTTGTGGCCACCGTTACCATGGCAACTGCAAGATTTGTCCACAAAATAGATTATTGCAAATCACTCACAATACGATCCTTAATAATATTAGTGGTTTTTGAAGTCTCTATAGTAGTGCATTCGGCGTGAGAAACCGAAAATAGTGGGGTTTGTGTGATTGTATAACAGAGGCCTATATTGCCTGAGGCTAAGAATAATATACGTACATCTGGTGGTTGATCTCTAGATCTAAATCTAGTGTTTTTTTAGGGACAGTAGTTTATTTAGCGTGATCATTGATCGGGATAGATCTAGTTGGTTTTTTTTTTAAAGCATAGATCTACTTGAATAGTAAATTTTGCTTGAAAGAGAGGGAACTCATTGATACAGATCTAACCAGAAATAGTGATTTTGACGTGAAGGCTTATATTATGCTATAAACACAAACGATAGTGGATTTTGCGTGATGGTAGTGAATGTACTTTACGTACATCTGATGGTAGTGTTTATTTGCGGGACAGTAGTTTATTCAGCGTGAAGGTCTGTGCTATAAACGCTACTACTAGTGCTTTCAGCGTTGCCAAAATGACTATGGTAGTGTTTCTTGCATAGAGTGATTTGGGCTTATTACATCGGCATGTATTCTGTTGACGGGTCAGAGAAGTATACGCCTATCAAGATCAAGATCTAGATCTAGATATTTAATCAACTAAAATTGTTGGCGCAATGGTCAATACAGTTTTGTTATGGTTTTAAAGTAAATAGTCAGATGCCTCATCCATGAAGCACACGCGTTTTAGTTTTGTCAGTGTGTGTGTGTGTGTGTGGGGGGGGGCTGTTTTTGTTTTTTAATAATAAATAATCATCGCTTTGTGAATGTGATACTTATAGCTGAATTTATTTCGCTATGTCACGCATGATGTTCTCATTTCCCTCACTTTGGAAATATCGCTACCTACCTCAGAATCACAAAGTTCTGTCTGACATTTTTGGCCGTTGTGAGTTACGACCATGAGATAAAAAATCACATGCTCTATCGGCTCTATTAAAGCAGAAAGATTATTTTGAGTCCTTATCAAGATAGTCAAAGAATTGCGGACCTATTGGAAAAAGCTTGACATATTGTGAAACTCAAAATTTTTTACGACAAATTAATCAAAACTAGGCGTAGGTTCTGACCAAAAATAGGCCTATAATACCGGTATATTATGGCCAAAGAATATAGCAGCAAAATATTTGGTCAGTGCACGAGACTTGTAATTGTGCTCTTCAATGAAAATTGAATTGATAATAACTCAAAACAATTGTCATGAAAAGTGAAGAAAGATGTGAAAAAATAAATAAAAAATGAGGTCAATTGATGACACTATAGTAATTTATTTACAGTCACTTCCTGCTCTCGTGTAAGGCCACAAAACATCCATGCTTCAAAAGTTCAAAAGAAACACACGTATCATCAAAGCGTAACAGAACATAGAGGGATGAGCTAAAATAATAGGGATAATGTAGAAAATACTATGGATGAGCTGAAAAATAATGGGGAATATTCTGGATGATCTAGAAAATATTAGGGGTGACCTAAAAATACTTTGGATAAGTTAAAAATTATTAAGGATGAGCTAGAAAATAATAGGGATAACCTAGAAAATACTGGGGATTAGCTAAAAAAATAGTAGGGAATATTCGGAATGAGCTAGAAAATATTAGAGATGAGCTAGAAAATATTAGAGATGAGCTAGAAAATACTGGGGATGAGCTAAAAATATTGATGAGCTAGAAAATAATAGTGATAATCTAGAAAATACTCGGGATGGGCTATAAAATATTAGGAAAAATTTAGAAAATACTCGGGATTGGCTAGAAAATATTAGGGATAGTCTAGAAAATACAAGGGATCAGCGAGAAAATATAAGGAATGAGCTAGAAAATAATAGGGATAATCTAGAAAATTCTGGGGATGAACATGAGCTAAAAAAAAGATAGTGTGGGCAGTGGTTCTTTTCCATTCAGCCAGCCTTGAAGGTGTGCTAGAGTTGCAGATGAAGCTTCTTATACATGTATAATGGCTTCTCAGTCACATTCCTGATTCCAGAGGGTTGATACGAGCGCCTTGTTGTGGTCAGCGGTGCTAAATCTAGATATACTGTTTAACGACGCACAGCAAAATATTTCAATAAAATCATGTTTTTTATTTTAACAAGTGATTATTAGGTCCATCTCGTTCATTTTTCTGAATTTTACTCACCCATTTAGTTTCAATGTGTAAAAGGCCGTGTTTGGACTATTTGGAGACTATCTGGCTTATTTAAAAGTAAACAATCTAAAAAATTCCTATGAGTATATTATAGCAATAGGCAAATCACATATGAAAAAGAAATCAACATCAAAAGACTTGGTAGAATATCAATATTCCCTGCACCGACTGGCCTTTTATTCCTCTCTGGAATGGCGGTGCGCCACTCAAGATTGACACTCGTGACGTCACAGCTGAGCTCTCTAGTCCTATTTATATATCATTGGATAATGACGTAAGTGTTTACACAAGGAACGATGATGTAACTGGTCCATTCTAAGGGAGCTAATGCCCATGTCTCTCCGTTCAATTTCATTGTTATTTCCCTTTTAAACATTGCGCGCTTGTGAATAATTTTCGCATTTTATTTTTTCATTTTATTTATAATAAATTCGTAATTAAACATTATTTTAATATATTTATTTCTGGGAACCGCGCCAACGGGCCAAAATTACAAATTGTATAATTCTTTCGTTTCCAAGTAACAAAACACTACATTCAGATATCTAGATCTATTTGTTGTGGCCTAGAATCTAGATTAGATCTTAGATATATTTTTTTGTTGACAAGTGAAAATAACTTAATTTTTAATAAGCCAGGTAATTGTCACTTTATTGTGTTTGGTACCTCAGTGACGAGCCTACCTACTAGATTCTAGATCTACCTGCTAATCCAGAACAAGATGTTTACTGTAGTTTACATGATGGCAATAATAGTGGGAGTGAAGTTAGAAGATCTAGATCTAGAATCTAGATAGTCTATCCAGAATCTAGAGATCTCTAGATTCTAGTTAGCCAAGAATACATTGTATAGACTCTCTCTTTAGTTCTCTACTATTATAGACTATTTCGTTATCAACACCCAAACTCTCTCTCTCCCTCTCTCCCTCTCCCCCTCTCTCTCTCTCTCTCTCTCTCTCTCTCTCTCTCTCTCTCTCTCTCTCTCCCTAGTCCCCCTCTCTCTCTCCGGCCGACCAACACACCTTAACCCAAACCCTAATTACCTAATTAGCATGAACCCGGCTTACCCTAACCCAAACTTTAACCCTAACCCTAGAGGTCTAACCCTTACCCTAACCCAAACCTTAACCCTAACCCTAGGTCTAACCCTTACCCTAACTCTAACTCTTGTATAGTTTACTCAGTGGACCTTGTCATGGTAAGTGCCGGCCCTCCGCGGAACTCCTCCCCGAAAATGTAGTTTTCTGGAATACAGGGTGTCTTAAAAAAAGAAATACCCATCAGATTTAAATGGTTAACTGTGCATTAATTTTGATATAAAACTTCGAAACTAATAAAATTCAGTCGAAGCTACTGTGTTCTCCTCTCATTCACTCATTCAGTATGTCCCACATTCGAAACCTGACAGCGACAGAAATTTAAAGTTTTCTTTTCTGAAATCTTCTCCTTTCACCTCCTTTAACCTGCTCTCGAACCATGTTCTGTCGTCTGATTTCGTCTTCACTTTTACCCCCCCCCCCTCCTTTCCTCCCCCTCCTCTGGGCTCGTGGCTCTTTTTGTTGCTTTTCTACTGCTTCTTCACTCCTTAAATTCCTACTGCTGTTTTTCACCCATACCTGGGATCTTTTGTTTTATGGTAGGTAAGATCTAACTCTCAGTCAACTCGGATAAGGGCGAAAAACCTTGAAGGTCCCATGTTTAAGTTTTACATATATATTACAGATCCCTTGATGGTCCAAAATCAATAAAAACTTCGGCCACACCTGGGCAAAATTCAAAATTAATCATTCCTGCCAAACTGAAAATGTTTAATGCAAGGACATCAAATCTGTAAATATCAATCATGTTTTTCATATTGACATCTGTAATGTACCCTTGGTTGAATTTTAAAAAAAAGTTTTGTTGAAACCAGTCGAAAGGTGACCGAGTTAAACAGCCCTTTCAATGGGCCCTCTTTTTTTAGACACCCGTTACTGGCTCTCCATTGCAATAATGATAATGATTAGATTAAAATGTGTTAAATATATTGAAATAGATTTATGGTATAAATAAATCAGATGATGGTTACCTAATGTTTATCTTTATGACATGGTTTTTATTGTTTCATTACAGTAGGGAAATATTTGCTCACAAGACAAACGTGTGTGCCTCAGTGACAGAGACCTGGTCTATTTCCTGGACACGAGGAGAGAGCAAAGGTCAACCAGAAACTGGAGGAGGGTGAGGAACAGGGGAACAGAATTTTTACTGAAACAACAGACTTTAGCGAGACATCTAAGGCGGAAAAGAAAACAAACTACAGTGGAGTCTGCTGAAACCAAACACGGTTCATCCGATAATCATATGGCGGTAAACCAAAATAAAATAATATCTCGGATTTTTTTTTTTCTGTTGAAGCAACCTCTTTAAACCAGATATCAGGCTGAAGTCTCATCACTACGAATGACAAAGTAGGCCTACAGAGAGCTATTTTGTGAGCTGTTATGCCGATGGCGAGGGACGTTCTAAACTGTCTACGAATAAGATGTTATAGGTGTGATCTATCAGGGTGAACAAGGCTCTTTGAAAACCTGTCTTCCTGTCATTGCCACATTGTTGGTGTTTGTTTATTTACATGTTTTTGCTGTAATAATAGATTGATATACAGTCGAACCTGCCCTGACGGTCACCTCTATAAGATGGTCACCTGTACAAACGGCCACTTTCCATTTCCCCCCTTGCGTTTTTTCTATATAATTTAACTGTATAAAACGGGCACCTGTCTAACGCGGCTGCGGCCACCTTATTTTAACACACAACCCCTATCATACTAAGCAATAATACCTGTCTTAGACGGTCACCTTAGTGACTCCAATAGGTTTTGTCATAAATTGTGCATTGGCCCCTGGCGTTGTGGGCGAGCCGTCATAATTCAATCACCTGTCGTTGTTGTTAGGTAGTCCCTCCAACCGATCATGTTGCGTAGGCCGCTCCCACTGTTGACCAATAGCTACCAATTTACAGCTGCTGGTGAGGTAAGCGTGTGATCCCTCATAACCCATAAGCCCCGCCCAGAACTCATACACAAATCGTAAGTGAGATGAGTGGTCACTGTTTACCCGGCCCAGTCTGTAACAAAGTACATGTAACAAAGGACGTCAACATGAACTTGTTACAGAAGCGTCCCTCGTTCTCCGAGTGGTGGCGACCCATGTGTCTGTTTTAACATGGCACTCGGTCTTCCTTGTCTGATACATTTCATTTTATTGTCACCCTTGTGCAAAATCAGCGACAAAATAAAAATTACAAACGAAATACAAACCAACAACAACACCAACAAAGACAACAACAATGGGGCTACTTTCAATTGGGGCCTCAGATGGGAATGGTTTGTTTTCTTTATCTTGATCAGTCCTGCCTAAGATGGCCACCTGTCTTAAACGGCCACTTTTCTCCTTGACAATGTGTGGCCGTCTTACACAGGTTTGACTGTAGTTGGTGAAACATACAATTCTATACTGGAAATACTATTTGAAATAGAATCATGCCTTTTAAGGCTCATTGAGAAAGTTGACTTCAGATGGATGTCTCTATAAAACTGATAAAATAAGGAGCATACTTTTGATTATTCCTGATGTGAGGAAATTGCATTCTCTGTCCCCAGCTGTTTCCATCTGTACTTTCTACCTGTGCTGAAAGTGGCTTGAAAGAGCACCAAAACTGGTCCCTCACACCGGTGGAGCAACTGGCTGTTGCTATGGAGAGAAGCTTTCTAAGTAAAACATAAACTTTTTCTGACTTGAACATTCCAAAGTAAACCATGGTCTTGTTCTTGTTTAGTGTGTGTTTGTGTGTGTGTACTTAATCATAGTGTGTGTGTGTGTGTGTGTGTGTGTGTGTGTGTGTGTGTGTGTGTGTGTGTGTGTGTATGAACTGTATGTGTGTGTATGAAATGCTTTTAATTTGTGTGTGTATGTAAAGCAAATAATAATGACAACAAAGACTATAGATAGATTGTGGTTGTGTCTGTTACCATAGCCAGCTGTTGACTGAATTTATTTAATACATAAAAATTGTATGGAAGGTTTGGAGGGGGGTTACTTGGCCAGTGCCCACCATCTTGACCCACCTTGTGGGTAGAGTCTGTTTCTTGTTTTGAAAAGTTGGCAACTGTGTAAATGGAGAGTTGTGACTGCGATGTGTGTGTCCTTTAAATCATCCTTCTTTTTGCAATTTTTGTTCTTTCTTGAAACAGAATTCCTGCTTGCCCAGCCACTGGAGGTGAGGGTGATTCTGAAAACTTGCACAAAAGGCGGGGTAAGGAAGTGAAATTTCTTTTTGTGCCATTAGGAAAAGATGAAAGGGATATAATCCATAAAATATTTCAATCAGGATTGAGATCAAATTTTTTATGTCCCTTTGATATGTTAAGATAAGATAAGATAAGATACATCTTTATTGTCCAGATCCTGGCACATTGGTTTGGTGTTCCACCACGAGTACACACACACACACACACACGCACGCACGCACACGCGCACACACACACACACACACACACACACACACACAAACACACACACACATGTACACACGTGCACGCACATGCACACACAAGTAGGCTTACAATCACATACATAATATAAATGAGCAGCAACATAAACAATAATAATCGTAAGCTAGATACACACTCAATGTTATTTTGATGCATGCTCTAAGGTCGTAAGTACACTAAACAAGATAGATGGTTAAGATGGAAGCATTTTGATATATGATGGTAAAAATGACCTTCTGTATCTTTCTTTGTTACAGATCAGAAGCATGGGTCTTTTACTTCTGACTGATGTTTTTATTTGAGGGAACAAGGGATGTTTGTTGTCTAAAAAGATGGAATTAATTTTCTTAGTGCAAGCTGTTATGTACAATTCATCCAAGTAGGGAAATGAAGATGTTGAAATTTTACATGCTTTCCGTATTAGTTGATTTAATTTTTCTTTATCTTGTTGTCTTGTGTTCCCGGCCCATGCTGTTATACAAAAATCGATAATACTTTCTATGGTTGAATGGTAGAACATGGACATCAATGTTTTATCAACTTTAAAATACTTTAGCTTTCTAAGAAAAAATAGTCTTTTGTTCACTTTTTTATGCAGGAGAGAAGTGTGGACACGCCAGTTGAGTTGTTGTGTCCCTCTTCTCATCTGTGACCACTCACACAATGTTCTTGTCCTGGCCGCCCTTCAACACAGTGGTCCAGTGGTCGACTTTTCTTTATCATCTCCCTCTATACCTATGTTGCTATATTATTCCTTATATTACCGACGTCTGTGGTCTCATAATCTTGTCGCGACCCCAGTGCTTTCTTGTCTTTTCTCCATTTTTAATTACCGTGAAAACAGTTCATAAAAAAGAGTGAGCTTATGTTGTTGTTATCGATCCAGCAAGAGCTGGGCTCTCGCCCTTCTGTCCAATGCCATGTAGTGATAAGTGCAGGTTTGCTGCAGTTGCTGTAAAGTTCCCTAGAGTGTGTTGTCAATGTTAGGTCTTGGAGGGAGAAGGGTAGCTCTGATGTCATTTAGGGCTGTGCATTGGAACAGGTGATGATCCACAGTCTCATATGCATAGTCACACAAGGGACACATTGGGGGAAGTTCCGGGAAGAGTGAGCTTAAGAAGATGTCACATTTTCATTGTTTGAAAAAAGGGAGATACGATAGCGCTGTTCTTTGCAACAGATTCTATCTATTCTATCAGGCCACCTTCTTTCCTATCAAACATCTATCGTCTTTACCTCCCCTCCTTCTTTTTCATTTTGTTACTCTCTTGTAACACGTCTAATCTTAGGCACTTATATGACCTTATTGGGTTGCAAGTGCCGTAAAACTCTTACTAAAACTAATGTTAATTTTA